TGGGAACAACATCTTCCCTATCCACCTCAGCAGGATGGAACTCCTAGTCCCTCGATACATAGAAAAATTCCTCTTTCCATTTCTTAATTGAAAAAGGAGTGTCTAGCACTAGGGAACCACCCGTCCTAGGTCTAACACTGGTATACCACCAGCAAGAATTCCTACTGTTCTATTTAAGAATTGAACTGCTCGACACTAAGCTCAGAATTTTCTAACTGGCTCCATAAAATCAGGGTGGCAATCAGAGTCCACCACCTGTTGGGGCACAACTGTGACGAAACTATACCCCAGTAGGAAAGAAACCTACGTATGACCCTAGGAATGGGGAGCCTAAGGCCAGCCTGTAAAATAGCAGAGTTTAAGGCCACGAATCCTATGGGAGGCTTATCAGCCCGGTTAGAAGGTTCAGGGATTATCATTAGGAAAAACTGCAGTAAAAGCCCCACACCTTTGAAACATTAGCAGACTTTCCTCAAACCTTTCATTTGTTGCAACCGTCATCCCTAACCTTTCCAAACGTTGCATATGAAGGCCCTTTGGATGGTTTCCGTCAAAAATTCCATCAGTTGACTATCAAAATAAACTTTGACCATTTTTTAATCAATTTTAAAAGGGTAAAATTGTACATTTCTAGTTACCACATTAAACAATTAAAAAAAACTTAAATAAAAAAACAAATAAAAGAAAGAAAAGAAAAATGGATCTTCTTCCCCACCCACCCCACTCCCTCAATCTAAAACCAGCAATAATAAATTCACCGCCACCGTCATATCCTGCCCTAATTGAAATATTGCTGTTGAAAAATTATCAAAATAGTTACCCTTTATATTGGACAAAATTGATAATCAACAGAAGAAGCAATATCTATTGCTCCATTCCCTGAAAGAGGTGTGCCCTGGACAATGATTCTTTCAAGAAGAAATTCTTTTTTTAACCAGCAATTGTCGATACTTCACATTCTTGCTGAAATTTCTCCCACATACAGGTCATAGTGAGACTATCCATGGATAAAGCTGAATTTGATGTTTCCAATGTTGAGAAGATCACTAGTTTGCTCTTTAACCACTATGAGAGCGAGGAAGAGGGAGTTCGGATGTGATTGCCGAATGTCTAGGAAAAATTGCCCTAATTGAACAAGAATAAGTTGGTAGAGGATCCTGATGGGGTTGGAGGGATCAAAAGCGACTTCATGGAGATTGGGGGAAGAAAAATTGCCCTAATTGAACCAGAAAAATTGCTGGTTTTGAATTAAGGGGGTGGGGTGGGGAAGAAGATCCATTTTTCTTTTTCTTTATTTTTATTTTTTGTTTTTTATTTAAGCTTTTTTTAATTGTTTAATGTGGTAAATAGAAAGGTACCATTTTACCCTTTTAAAATTGATTAAAAGATTATCAAAGTTTATTTTGATGGTTAATTGACGGATTTTTTTACGGAAACCATCCGAAGGAGCCTCACATGCAACGTTTGGAAAAGTTAGAGGTGACGGCTGCAACAAATGAAAGGTTTGGAAAAAGTCTGCTAATATTTCAAAGGTTTGGGGCTTCTACTGCAATTTTCCCTTATCATTATGACCGAGCTAGGAATACCATACTTGCCTCTCCAGCTCACCAGCATATCTCCCATTACGACAGACCTATAGGAGCTAGCTCCCCACTCCTTCTGGGCATTCTCCTCATTGCCTTCATGAGATTCTACCTCCTCACCACCCAAATCCTCCCTAATTCGCCCCATCTTCCTAGGTCAAGGTGCAGTAACTGGGTTAACTATCGAAAGGAGAATAGGGGTGAAGATCTCTCTACAACTAGATGACGAGTTGGAATTCGAAGGGACTGATTCTTCTTTTTGGTTTCCCCAGGAATGAACACTAGATTCGTCCGAACTCATATACAAACCGAGAAGAAAATGTGTATCGAAAGGACTAAGAAAAGATACAGAAGAATACCTGGGAACTGAAGAAAAAATTACCCCACTTAAGAATAAAGATGGACAGACTAAAAGATTTGTCTTGCTATCTTGGAGAGAAAAAGTCGCCTAAAGTAGGGTGAAATAGAGGCACAAAAGGAATTTAAAAGGTTGGAAGGAGACTTAATCCAAGCCGTTCGTCCAAAAGATGGAGGGAAAATTAATGGACCAGATAGGATCACCCTGAAACTTCCCAAAGAAGCCACCATGAGTGACGTACAGCTCATCCCCATCACAAACTCGACACTTGGCACTAGGGCGAGCTTTGGCTCGGCTCGGCTCGGGCCCAAAAAAAGCCCGTTGTGATTTACTCGAGCCGAGCCCGAGCCCAAAATTTCGGGCTCGCGAGCCGGCTCGGCTCGGCTCGGCTCGTTTACATCCCTAATTGACACATAGCCACCGGCCTCGTCAACCAATCATAAGAGAATTCGACAACCTTAGTTCCGAGCTCGAAACTGTAGCTGGTTTTGATTGATTTGATGTAATTTTGACTGAAAACATGTATAAATAATGAAGAAACAAAGAGAAACAAAGACCATGACATGATTATATTTTCCCAATCGATTTATGGGTCATTTAGTAATAATTCGCCCTTTTTATTCTTAAAGTTGGCTCAAGACCAGTTTTACAAATTTTGATGTCAAAAATCTCCAACCTTGAGTTGATTAGTAGTTGTGGTTTTTCTCGAATTAAACCAGTTTAAGGAGGTCCAAGGGTCGCCCGAAATATCCTACAAATTATCATTATAGGTAGAAAACGTAAGAACGATCCTTGTTCTCTACCCGTTAATAAGCTCACTACTAGGTCACAATCTAAGGCACGTGACAAATTTAATTCAAGAAATTATTATAATCTAGTTGGTGAAAAGGCTGACTAACAATTGGAAGAAGAAAATAGTACTCAATATATCAAACAAGTCGAACTCTTTGGACCAATGATTTTCTTAAAAACAATTGTTATCATGGAAAAAAAGTTGTCGTTGAAACAAAATGAGCATGCTTATGAAGTGGACAAGTTTTACTTAATGCTAATGTGTTTCTTAGAGTCCATTTGCTAGTGATTGCTATGCTTTTTCGAAGTTGACAAATAAGCAAATCACAAGTCATTAAAGTATCGTGGACAACTTCACGGGATAGGAACAACAAATTAGATATCGTAGTAATGGTAGAGTCGACTGCATAATAATTTGTCACTCTATACAAAAAATATTATTAGAGTTTTGGAGAAAAAGTGTGTCAACGAAAATTATTTATAGATTAATTATGTTATATAGTGATAATAACTGATTGTTTTACTCCGACTTTGATCATAACTAGTATTGGTGATATGAGTCCGATGTCTACCTTGTTGTACTTGGATAATGAACTCAATAGAAAGTCTCAATGAGGAATCCGCATGCTAGCTAGCATATTCGGATCGACTTACAAGGACCACTAGTTTTGCCATTTTTAAAGACCTTGTATGTTATTAGTTTAACAAGAGAGTCTGACCTCTCTATATTTGTATGATCCGACCTCTTTTAGAATCTGTTCGATAGTAATTATGAGAACTGACTTTTTGATCATTAGAGAGAAAAATGGATCTCATTTGTGAGTGAAAAAATAAAAAAAATGACGATTGAAATAGTGAAATAACGGTTAAAAAATTGATTTTTGGAGTGAAAAATTGCTATCAAACGGGAGCTAAATTTGTATGATCCATTTCACATCAATTTATTGATTGAACATCTACTTAATGCGGCTACATACTTTTAGGGAGTTAGAAAACTTTATCATGCTAATTTAATCTTTTATGTTTATTATTTGTAAGTTACCAATGAATTTGATATTACATCTTCAATAAAAAAAATATAAATGCGAGGATGATACTTCGAAGTATATAGTTCGAACTTCGAAATTAGGACGATTGGAAATAAACAAGTTAGTCTAGATAGAAGGTTCCTATATATAAGGAACGAGAGTCTTATAAATATTTTATGATATTTTGTATTAATTTTTAGATAGTGAAAATATTAAATTATCTTAATAGAACGAGATTGGTTTCATGAAATTTTATTAAATGTTAGAAGTTATTAATTATTGAGGTATTAACTAGTTAGAGAGTTAAGACAGTATTACAAAATAAACCACTAAAAAACTACAGGAAATGGTATTCAATTAAGTTTAATCAATATATTAAATAGTAAATTAATTTGGTTTTCAAGAAACACGACATAGACAACAATTTTCGTTAGTACCTATTAAATCTTTAATTTTAAAATAAAATAAAATATCTGTACTTATAAATTCGGATATTAAAAAGTGATCCATTAATTTATTAAATAAAACAAAGTATTAGTATTCTCATTATCTAATTTTAAATCTAATTGTATGAGCATCGATATATAAATTTTTGTATAAAGTATAATTTTATATTTATCTCAAATATTTAAAAAAAGGAAAATTTATTATAAATAAAACATACAAATAATTGTTATAAATATATTTTTAAATTCAGCGAAATGATATGTTTCCGCACGTTCTCAAATTCAAAATTTTTTAATTATGTTCATTTTTTCAATTTAGCCCTCGTGTGATGTTAATATTTGAGAAGTGATTTAGTAAAAAAGTGATTTCTTTTTTTTTTTTTGGAAAATGTAGAGTTAAAATGTAGGAGAACTATAGATTCACATATAAAATTATTTTATAGAAAGAATGTGATTGAAAAAAATTAATTGAAAAAATCACTTTCAAACAAGGGCTTAATGTCGCTAGCGATGAGATTCAAAAAAAGGATAAAATTAAGATAGAAAATTCAAACAAGTAGTTTAAAGCATGTTTGGGAATGATTTTGAGAATTGATTTTTTGATCGTTAGGAAAAAAGTGGGGTCCACCTGTGAGAGAAGAAGTCAAATATGACGGTTAGAATAGTGAAATAACGGTCAAAAAATCAATTTTTTAAGGAAAAAATTACTCCCAAACAGGCCTTAATTTCAACCTCATACTATACATAATATGTGGCAAAATTTGACATGGCACGTGTATGGTGCTGATGTAAATATACGTATTTGCTTAGCATATACTACATTCAAAAACATTTATATTATCCTTTTATTCTAATTTTTTACAGTCAGCTGCGCTAAATCCTACGTTTCGACCAACAAGATCAAATTCTACCCATTGATTTTGTTGATGGTAATTGCCAAAAATGTTACTTGAAGTACCAAGTAGTGACGACCGTCCGATGCCTATGCAGTTGACCCCACCTCCTACGTCATCCAAAATCCTTTCCTTATTTATCAAAATATATACACCATTTTCAAATTGAAAAACCATATCCCCAATCAACCTCCCGATCTCAATAGGGTTTCCGTCAAAGCACATATCCAATGATCCTCCATGCATGTCCCCTTGCTTTAGTCGTCGACCCGCCACTGTCACAATTTCATCTCTTACCTATTAAGGTAAAATCACACGTCGCTTAAATTAAAAACGAATATTTAACTAATAAAGGATTGAGGCAATCTTCCCAACAAAGTTGAAGTTTTAAATAGAAACTTGTAATGGTATTAAGATCCACTAATCTCAACCTTACCATCAAATTTTAATATTGACGTTTTGAACGGTAAAATTCTCGTTCGCTATAAATTTGAAATAATAATAATAATAATAATAATAGCATTTTTTTTACCTTAGAGTATGCCTCATCCACTAAAAATGTGTACTGGGTTCCGGAGTCAATCATCGTTTGGCCTGAACCACCAGAATCCGGCCGGAAAACTGATACCGGTTTGTTCAATTTCTTTCCGCCGATCATTATCCCCGTCATGGGAAGAGTGTATGCCAAAGGATCGAAATTTGGCATGCTTTGTATTTGAGGAAAAGACAGAAGATTGGCATATTTAAATGAATGTGAATTTGGATTCTCTCCAAGGTAAAATGTTCCGGTCGGTGTAATCCTCGGAGTTCCTTGTCGGAGTGGCACGCAGTAAGAGAATTTTGAGACTTTAGCTTGGGAGGGAAACGATAGCCGCCCAAGATTCATTCCCAGAATACCCTGAGGCTCGCTGGAGCTGGTGGTGCAACCAAGAACCAATGGAGGAGTAATTAGGGAAGGTGACAATATGAATTTCTCTGTGATGAGATTGCCCTCTGCTAAAGTCCCATCCGCATAGAAGTATGAATAGTGGCATAAATTGTTCACACAAGAAGTTGGAAGGGTAAAATCGGGATTTCGTGGCATGCAAAGTGGGCTGTTGCATGGGAGGTTAGAGAAGGAAGAAGATAGAGAAGGATCAAACGACGTCGTTGGGGACATTCTTGGTAACTTTCTTTGGCATTGAGTCCATGAAAGTTGGCTGCCTGTGTCCAACACCATTGGTAGAGTCTGTGGTGGGGTCCCAATTGGGAGAGAAACAATCAGAGCCATTGAGTACCTGAATGATGATTTATAGTTTATCAACGGTGATGATGAGACTGCACCATTTGATCTTTGATGGCCATGTCCTTTTGGTAATGACACAAGAGAAGAAAATTTATTTCTTCTTGGGAAGAATAAGTGCTGTGAGAGAGAGGGACGGACGAGAGGGAAAAGGAGAGAGAAACCGAGTGATTTTCACCCGTCGTGTTCTTCAGTGTCGCGTTTCTTGTTTCTATTTCTGTACAACCCAGATTGAGAAAATTCAAAAACACCAGACATAATAGAAAGAGAGAATTGTAGAACGCCATGAAATAGTTATAGCGAGAGAGAGGAGGCCCTGGGGTGGAGGAGGTGTGTGGTGGTTTTATAGCGGGGTTGGCCTTGAAATGTGGAGGTGACTCTGGTTAGGGGTGGTTGGTATTTTGTACAGCCAAAAAAATGAGGAGTTTCTTACATTCTTAAAGTTTGAGTGGTGTTTTCTAAGGTTTCGACAGTTAAGGATACATCGTCTAATGTTGTAAAGTGATTTGTACCGGTACAGCATGTTTGTCTTTTAAGCTAAGACTCATAAATAAGCTAAGATATAATATAATTTTTATTTATTTATTTTTAAATTTTTTTTTTTTGGTTATGAGTAGGCAGGGATCATCGTCAAAATAAATAACTTAATATGAAATTTGACTACGTAAAATTGCTAGCTTTTGCATGACAGCGTGTTAAGATGAAACGATAATATAATTAACTTGTCTAAATGTTACGTGTTTCAATTACAAAAGAAAATATCATATTTCTAGGGTTTTTAGGAAAGAACATATTACACAATCAACTTTTTTTTTTTTTTGGTTATGAGTAGGCAGGGATCATCGTCAAAATAAATAACTTAATATGAAATTTGACTACGTAAAATTGCTAGCTTTTGCATGACAGCGTGTTAAGATGAAACGATAATATAATTAACTTGTCTAAATGTTACGTGTTTCAATTACAAAAGAAAATATCATATTTCTAGGGTTTTTAGGAAAGAACATATTACACAATCAACTATCAATAGCTTTAAAATTAGCGTGTAGTTAATTTCATAACTGGTCATTGAAGTTTGTACAAAATTTAAAGTTGGTTTTAAAGTAATTTTTTTACTCATTTAGTCACTAAAATTAGTTAGCTTTATACCATTAGCTTTTAAAGTGTTTCTTTTCTTTTCTTTTCTTTTTTTTTTTTTGGGGGATTCAGTAGTCACTAAAGTTAATTAATGTCATATTTTGAACGGTAAAATTCTCGTTCGCTATAAATTTGAAATAATAATAATAATAATAATAATAGCATTTTTTTTACCTTAGAGTATGCCTCATCCACTAAAAATGTGTACTGGGTTCCGGAGTCAATCATCGTTTGGCCTGAACCACCAGAATCCGGCCGGAAAACTGATACCGGTTTGTTCAATTTCTTTCCGCCGATCATTATCCCCGTCATGGGAAGAGTGTATGCCAAAGGATCGAAATTTGGCATGCTTTGTATTTGAGGAAAAGACAGAAGATTGACATATTTAAATGAATGTGAATTTGGATTCTCTCCAAGGTAAAATGTTCCGGTCGGTGTAATCCTCGGAGTTCCTTGTCGGAGTGGCACGCAGTAAGAGAATTTTGAGACTTTAGCTTGGGAGGGAAACGATAGCCGCCCAAGATTCATTCCCAGAATACCCTGAGGCTCGCTGGAGCTGGTGGTGCAACCAAGAACCAATGGAGGAGTAATTAGGGAAGGTGACAATATGAATTTCTCTGTGATGAGATTGCCCTCTGCTAAAGTCCCATCCGCATAGAAGTATGAATAGTGGCATAAATTGTTCACACAAGAAGTTGGAAGGGTAAAATCGGGATTTCGTGGCATGCAAAGTGGGCTGTTGCATGGGAGGTTAGAGAAGGAAGAAGATAGAGAAGGATCAAACGACGTCGTTGGGGACATTCTTGGTAACTTTCTTTGGCATTGAGTCCATGAAAGTTGGCTGCCTGTGTCCAACACCATTGGTAGAGTCTGTGGTGGGGTCCCAATTGGGAGAGAAACAATCAGAGCCATTGAGTACCTGAATGATGATTTATAGTTTATCAACGGTGATGATGAGACTGCACCATTTGATCTTTGATGGCCATGTCCTTTTGGTAATGACACAAGAGAAGAAGATTGAATTTCTTCTTGGGAAGAATAAGTGCTGTGAGAGAGAGGGACGGACGAGAGGGAAAAGGAGAGAGAAACCGAGTGATTTTCACCCGTCGTGTTCTTCAGTGTCGCGTTTCTTGTTTCTATTTCTGTACAACCCAGATTGAGAAAATTCAAAAACACGAGACATAATAGAAAGAGAGAATTGTAGAACGCCATGAAA